ACTCACAATTAACGCAATCCCAAATGGGCCAAGCTCTCACACTCCCACAGAGTAAAGCATGATCAGCATCAATCAAACCTTCGTTTGTGGTGGCTAAAGGTACATCTTTGTGCTCTCTCTCCTGTCACAGCATTGATGAAAGAGGTACGGAGATGAGGAGGATATGTAGGGTATTTTCTGACAGCTTTAGAAACTTGGAAAGCTCAAAGCTCTTTTTAAAAAACTACTTTAGAAATCAAGCTAAGAATCAGAATAAGGGCATTTTCCTTATGGTATACTTAAGACAAACTTGGTAGTTTTACATTTGGGCAGTATTCCGGTTCCTTGGACATCAGATCTAGACAAATGGGATTTTATACAATCAGTATGCAAAAGGAGCAAGCACTTCTGAAATCTTCTCAGACATACAGATACATAGAACATTAAAAAGTAGAGTTGTCTATAAGTTTATTTTCCATGTATAAAAAGAAATGAAGTTGTCTGATTAAGAACGCAACAGTTGAGAACAAGCTCAGGGCTCAGCATGAAGCTATATATTTGTATATTTGTGTATACTGTGTGTATATTCGTATAAGTCTTCCTATTCACAGTGCCACTGTTATTCTTAGATCCAGCTGTTTTACACTCATTGCCAGATGGCGCTTTTATGTACAGTTCTGATCAAGTACAATATGTGACACAGTATTGGAAAAAATTAGCTATTTAGGAATAAGTACACTGGTGCTTCTGAAAATACAAACAACTCCAAAAAAACTCATCTGGAAAACACGTGCGAGTTGAACATATAAAGCAAGTGGTGAGAGTTTTTATGTTTTCACACGGCCATTCATGGGCTCTATTATTTCTACACTGACGTCAGTTTTTAGTGAAGGGACTCCAGTAAATGAGCTAAACTTCAAGAGACAGGACAGTAATAACTGACCGTTAGAAAGCAAGCTCTCTGGTCAAAAAGTGAAATTTCTGTGCTTGAAGCGCACAGAAGAGGACACAGGAAGGAGGAAGATTGTGAAAACTACTTATAAAAAAGCATGGAGAATGAAAAAGTATTGGCAGACATCAAGCTCTCTATGCTACTGCGGCACATTCAGCAGACTCTAGAGAACCATCTAAAGAGGGCACATCAAGCCCAATTTTCCTCTTAAGAATAAGGGATAATTCCATTATTTCCTTACCTTGCAGAATTAAATGACGAAAAATTTTAAAGGAAACATGAATTAGAAAAGAACCACCATGAGGATATATGATGCTATTCTGTACTAAAGTAGATCACTTTCTTAATCGAAACTCTAAGTAACTGCTTATAACTTCTTTGACTGTTCTGCTTTTAGTCAAACTAAAAATGGAAGACAGACATTAAAGTGAACGAATCTCTAAAAATAAAAATGTAATTATTTGGTTATTTGTTACCTAAAGATTAAAATAATTATGTGGGTGATATTTATAATACCTCTTTGGCAAATGTTTCATGTTTAACTGCTATTTCCAGTACTGAAAAATACCATTGTCCAAGAAAACAGTATTTTATGAATAAGATTCTAAAATACAGGAAGGAAAGAGTCTAGTCCTTATTACTAAGTGAAACATTTCCTACCAGGATGTGACTGCATTTAATTGACAGGGATGCCAAGACAGTCATTTCTCTGGTAAATAAATTCTCAGTTTAAGGACTGAAATATTCCATTAGTTGCTACCACGCATCACTGAAAGTGTACATATTCACTTTAAAGAAAAATGTTCTATATACATTTTGTGGTACTAGGAGACAACGATTCAAGCTGGTGGCTTGTAAAAAGTAGAGGCATTGAATAAGAATAATCTTAATGAAGGGTATTGGAATAATCCCTATAGTTTCCAAAATTAATAACCTTCATTCTTTCCATCAAGAATGATTTTTTTTGTTATTTTGTTTAGAACCTTTCTTAAAAGGTGAGTTAAGTACTGCTTCTTACTAAGAAAAGTCAGTTCAGATTAAAGCAGATGTATTGAATCACAACTGTGCCCGTATTTTGTAACGGAGTATGGTGCAGAGATCCCTAAGTTTGTGACAGAACCAGAATTAGTACAAGGCATACTGTACCGCAACACAAAGCTGCTTAATTGGCTCTGCTGAGATGTAGGACTAACTGGTATAGAGGATACCATGTTCATTAAGCTGCACTGTTTTCTGACCTCAGATCTCTCCAAACAGCATTACGCTTGGACATACCATTTACCAGTCTGGGAGAGCATCTGTTAGAGCGATGAACTGGGTAGCACAGAAATGCTCTTAGTTCACCCTCCTCTCACAGCTGTGACGACACTCATTTTGCCTCCAGTCACCTTCCCTGTACCATGCATATAGCAGAGGGAGCAATGGGTAGTATCTTCAGTATGAGCCTTATCGATTTCCTCGGTGTCTTCCACTAGAATTAATCGTGACACACATGCT